TTTGGCTCAGTGGATAGAGTTTCGGCCTGCAGACTGAAGGGTCCCGGGTTCAATTCCGTTCAAGGGCACGTGCCTGGGTTGCAGGTTCAATCCCCAGTATGGGGTGTGCAGGATGCAGCCAATGATTCTCCCTCATCATTGATGTTTCTATCTCTCTCCCTTTCCCTTTCTCTCTGAAATCAATAAAAATATATTTAAAAAATAATAACTAAATAAATGCCCTAGCACAGCGGTCAACCTTTTGGACCTCACAGACCACTGGTGGGCAACCGCTGCCCTAGTTGGTTTTGCTCAGTGGTTGGAGTGTCGGCCCATAGATTGAAGGGTCATGGGTTCGATTCTGGTCAAGAGCAGGTGCCTTGGTTGCAGGCTGGATGCCCGACCCCGGTCAGGGCATGTGCTGGAAGCAACCAATCAATGTGTCTTTCTCACATCAATATTTCTCTCGCTGTCTTTCCCCCTCCCTTCCATTCTCTCTGAAAATCAATGGGGAAAAATATCCTTGGGTGAGGATTAACCAAAAAAAAGAAGAAAAAGATTTCTTATATAAACTTTGCTTTATTAATTTTTTCAGGAGCCCATCAACACCAAAAAATTTAGTTTTCTCCAGCTTCTTTATCTGGCCCATAGATTGAAGGGTCATGGGTTCGATTCTGGTCTAGAGCAGGTGCCTTGGTTGCAGGCTGGATCCCCGACCCCGGTCAGGGCATGTGCTGAAAGCAACCAATCAATGTCTTTCTCACATCAATATTTCTCTGTCTCTCCCCCTCCCTTCCATTCTTTCTGAAAATCAATGGAAAAAAATATCTTTGGGTGAGGATTAACCAAAAAAAAAGAAGAAAAAGATTTCATATATAAACTTTGCTTTATTAATTTTTTCAGTAGCCCATCAACAACAAAAAATTTAGTTTTCTCCAGCTTCTTTATCCGAGAGAGGACAATCAAACCTAGTGGGCGCAGCTTCCTGGAAGTTGATAAATCAGGTATTCAAGGAACCAAAAAAAGTGACTTGCTAGCCCAGCCAGAGTGGCTCAGTTGGTTGGGTATAATCCTGTGCACCGGAAGGTTGCCGGTTTGATTACCAGTCAGGGCATGTACCTGGGCTGTGGGTTCGACCCCTGGTCAGTTTCTCTGTAGAATCTGTATCTCTGTCAGGGCACATATGTAAGGCAACCAACAAATGTTTCTCTCTCACATCGATGTACAGTATCTCTCTCTCCCCCTTCCTCTCTCTAAGCATGTACTAAGGTGAAGATTAAGAAAAAAAGTGACTTGCTAAAAGCTACCAGTGGTAGAGCCTACCTTAAACTAAAAGTGGCATCCCAAAAGACAGGTTTTAGAAATATAAGAACAAGCCCTAACTGGTTTGGCTCAGTGGATAGAGCGTCCGCCTGCGGACTGAAGGGTCCCAGGTTCAATTCTGGTCAAGGGCATGTACTTTGGTTTCGGGAATATCCCCAGTAGGGGGTGTGCAGGAGGCAGCTGATCGATGTTTCTCTCTCATTGATGTCTCTAACTCTCTATCCTTTTCCCTTCCTCTCTGTAAAAAATCAATAAAATATTTAAAGAAAAAGAAATATAAGAACAATCTATAATCCACTGCCCAGCTTTTGTTTGTTTGTTTGTTTTTCATGAATTTCGGTGTGCAGGAGGCAGCTGATCGATGTTTCTCTCTCATTGATGTCTCTAACTCTCTATCCTTTTCCCTTCCTCTCTGTAAAAAATCAATAAAATATTTAAAGAAAAAGAAATATAAGAACAATCTATAATCCACTGCCCAGCTTTTGTTTGTTTGTTTGTTTTCATGAATTTCAGGTAAACAACCAATAATTGTTAATAAACTTTAAAAAATATGTTTTGATTTTTTTTTTTTTTTAGAGAAAGAGAGAGGAAAAAATCAATGAGAGAGAAACATTGATCAGCTGCCTCCTGCCTGACCCCTCCTGGGATCAAGCCCACAACCTGGGCATGTGCCTTGACCGGAATCAAACCAGTGACCTCTTGGTACATGGGATGGCGCGCAACCAGCTGAGTCACACCGGCTGGGCTCTACTGCCCATCTTAATCCTGACAGAGTATTGGGAGAGCTAATCGATACGACAGACCGACAGACTACTTCGTACGCGATTTAGTGACTTTCATACAGTAGGGGAACTAAACGATGTAGCTCTTCAGCAGAAAGAGCTCAGCAACCTACAGAGAAACGTGCCGTTAGCACGGCTCTGCTCTGGCAAAGAGGACCCTGACAGGAAGAACATGGGACGAAATAAATGAACTCCAAAGCTACAGAGGGATCGCTTTAGAATATTTGTATGTATCTTATGTCAGTGGCTGTGTACTGACATTAATTCAGATGTCTTTCTCAACACCGGGTGCCTTACCAGGAAAATGCTTATCAAGGAGAGAGCAAAATGTAGTGGGAAGAGTCTGGGACAGAATCTGATCTACGGGAAGCCAAGCTCTGTGTCCTGCTGTGTGTCCTGGGGTACGTTGCTCTACTCTCCAAACCTGGTTTCTCATCTGTTAGGTGGAGACAATACTGGTTCTAGTCCCCTCTTGAAGTTGTGGGGTTAAATAACAGCGAAGTCTCTTGTAAACTCTATAGGTAACTGTGAGCATCATGTCCATACTCCAACTATCAACTGTCATACTGAGACAGGCCAGGAAGCCAGGACAAGTGGAATAGGGAACAGACAGCTGAACAAACTGAAGAGCAATTTACAGCAGAAACAGAAGGTCGCCTCCCTAGAGAGAACATCTAGGCCTCAGTTATATTTCAGCTCCAGACCCAGAAAAGCAGCAAAACCAGGGGGTGGGGTCCACCAGGACCAGCTGCAATGAACAGGCGCCCTGCCTGACACTGACCAATCAGTGGAGACCGTGACCCTGAAGGAGCACACCCAGAAAAGTGATGAATATTGTGCTGAAACCCTCCCTAAGATTCCTGCCTACAAGAGAGAGATAAAAGGACCCAGTGCCAGGAGCCCTCAGGCTGCCACTCCCGCCCTCCCTCCCCCTTCTTGCAACCAGGGCAGCAGCAGTTCATCCCGGGCAAACCCCCTGAACCTCCCCAAGGCCCCCTTCCCTCTGACTTTGTGAGCCAAGCAGCCCAGCCTAGGCTCATTTCCCCAGCCCCTCCTTGTTTCACTGTTCCCGCTTTAATAAATGTCCTTAAAATCCACCTGCACTGCCCTAACGGGTTTGGCTCGGCGGATAGAGCGTCGCCCTGCAGACTCAAGGGTCCCAGGTTCGATTCCAGTCAAGGGCATGTACCTTGGTTGCGGGCACATCCCCAGTAGGGGGCATGCAAGAGGCAGCTGATTGATGTTTCTCTCTCATCGATGTTTCTAACTCTCTATCCCTCTCCCCTCCTCTCTGTAAAAAATCAATAAAATATATTTTTAAAAAAAATCCACCTGCACTCATGTTGTGAAATTTTTCCTGCACTAAGTCAAGAACCCACACACTCTTGGCTGGCCCTGCCAGTAACAATATGTCGTGGCCAACAAGGAAAAGCTATCCCAGTGTATCAAAAGTAGGTCCACCTGAGTGAGAAAGAACAACAAAAAATTTTCACTTAATCGTCTAGGTCTCTATTCGGGACTCTTTGGTCCTAAGCAAGAACCATATGAAGTAACAGGGGACAGCAATCCTGAGTGACGAAGGGGCATGCATCCTCACCTTTTCCCGGCACTCCTCACTGATGATCTTGCTGTTATCCAGGATATCTGCAAAAACACAAAGCTCCCTTCACTCGCCCCTTAGGAGCCATCGTCGTGTCAAGCCCAACAAAGCAAGCTAGTACGTGACTTACTGTAGGAAGAAGGGCATGGCTTTCCATTATAGGCAAACCTGCTCAAGGTCCTGTCAAAATCAGAAATGACCTAAAATGCAAAAGAGAGATGATGCCTAGATGGGCTCCTTCTGGTGCGGCCCTGCGTCAGCCTGGAGGAGGAGGATGGAAGTCCCCGGGCTCAGCGTCCAGACTATGGGCAAAGCCCTGGGGGGGTCAGGGCGGGCTACCGGGGGAGGGAAGAACTAATCCCAGTCGGTCCAGCGCTAACCCTGCGGAGGCCCACCCTGGGAGAGGGGGCGGGGGGGGGGGCGGGGGGGGGGGGGGGGGGGGGGGCGGGTGCTGAAGAATCACGATCCCGTTGGCTCTTTCAATAGCACCCATCTCAGTGCCCTGCCCGTCCTTTAGGACCCATCTCCACATCTGCAATGTCCTGGGGAGCCCGCTGCGCTGGGCTGGGCTGGGCTGGAGAAGGGGCCCCAGGGCCTGGTGTGGTGCCTCCTGTCTCATCAGAGGAAGCAGCACGACCTCACAGAGAATTTTAGGGCAGTTGGGCTCTTCCCCAAACAGGCGAACCAGCCGGGTCATTTCCAGGGGCTGAGGGCTTGCAGGTGCCGCAACCACGCGGGAAGGCACACGGGCAGGGCTCCCCCCAGCCCCCCTCCCAC